GTGACTTTCAATCTGCATGAAATAGTATTATTATAATTAAGTGTGTGAATGGATCATTAAAAAAAAACATCATAACTTCAAACAAAATACGTTCTGATATGGAAATATTTATCATAGATAAGCCTAATAGTTAATTTGCAACCTCGGGTGTATAAATAAAGACAAAAAATAAAGGATAATTGTTCATTAAATGAAAAGTAGATCAGTTTTAGCATTCATAATGCATTAAAACAATGTAAACAGAGCGCAAAAGTAGAGATTGAAACTTATACTTTGGGTCAAACTTTATGTACCTTATGAAAGTTAAAAGGGAAAGAAAAGGACCAGTGACACTAATCTACCGTTCCCATCCGACAGTTGCCTTCCATTATACTCCTTATCTGTTGTTTAAGTGACAAGGTACAAGCAAAAATCTATGAATATTCAACAAAAACAACAAAACACATGGATCACATGGACCGTAGAAAAGTACTTCTAGATAACATTTTCAACATAGTTATTTTGCAGCAAATGCACTTCTACGTTTAAATATTTATGAAAGTCATATGTGAAAAATACAAACTGCTAACCAACTTACCATAAGTCTATACCGAGGTTCAAAAATGGGTAGCAGAAACTTCTGAAATGGGAGGACACCATCCATTACAAAGAGTGGCATCATATCTGAAATTGATACTTAGGTGACGAGGGGTAAACTTAATCACATAAACAAGACACAACAACACAGCTAGCTTCACACACTTTAAACCTTGACCAAATACACATATGACTAGTCAACTACTAGTCAAGAAACAATCACAACCAATAGAATACACAGAGCATGCCACAATGTACCTGCAATCCTAGAAGATTACTAGTGACAACCTATGCACTCAGAAGGACCCATCAATCTAGGCATCCCCTGTGCTAGCAACAACTATGGTGAAAGTGTGTGAAAACATCATTATCATGTAAACATCAAACAGCAGATACAGATGACTAGTCAACCACCAAGAACACAAACCCAGAAAAATTACAGATATGCAAAACAGATTTTGTTCACCCAGAAACCCACCATTGGGAAAAACTGGGAGTCATCAACCGACCAGGCAATCCACTAAGTAGAAAAAGATTCTTACAAAGGAAACACAACCAAGCTCAAGAAGCACCTAGGTCTATTTAGGAATATGAGCAATACCTCCTTTGTGCAATCTTCTTCTCCAACTTAGCAAAGCTTGAAGCTCAGTCCTTCATGGCAATGGCAGCTTCTTCTCCAGCTCGTTCATCCCATGGCACTAGCTTGCAAGCTCAACACAAACCGAAACCAATTTGGATTCAAAGGAGAAAGATCAATTTCTTCAAGAAACCATACTCTTGAAGAAATCAATCTTGAATCCGACCTAGATATAAATGATAGAATGATTTAAATAGCTAGATGCAGATTCGTGTTTCAAATGCAGTTTTTCAAAAAGAAATCAATTGGAAAAACTCATAGATGAAATAATGGTTCTCTCGTGGAAGAAGAAGCGAAAGATGGCAAGCCAAACTTTCCAAAACTTCCACCCGAAAAGAGACAGCTGCCAAATGAGAAAATCGTGGGCTATACAGACCAACGAAATCGTTAGGTCAGCCAAACCCACTTGACAGCAGAGAGAGGAAAGAAGAATAGGACAAAACAGTTTGTTATCCAGCTGGAGGCAAGGATGACTAGTCATATGAGAAACGGTTGACTAGTCATCTTTTTATGAAAACAGTTTTATGTAATGATATGCAATGCTCAATACCTTTGTCAACTTGCTTGAGCCACCATAGAGCAGAGAATAGAGAAGAGCACCAATAAATGTTTTCCCTAATCTAGACTTGAGCTTGATAAATTACATTACACATCCTATTACAAAGTTGTCAAGGGAAGCCAAAAGAAATTAGTAAAAACCATACATTAACAATCTCCCCCTTTTTGGCTTTCCTTGGCAACACACTCTCTAAGAACACTCAACCCAAAACCGAGACTAAGGAGATGATGAAGTGAGGGTACCTGCAAGAACAACCAATCTTCCCAGCACAAAAACAAGCATATTATCACAGAAATTTTTTAAAAACGATATGCGATGTGGGGTTGAGAGTGTTCTCCCCCTTGTTGATAAGGAAAGTGCAAAAAGGCAGAGAGATAGAAACAACAGATAAAAGGGATTAACCACAAAGTGATAGGCATATAGGAACAAGGATAACAGCACATGTTCATAGATGGATGACTAGTCAACCAACAATAGTTTAAAAACAGTACAGACCATAGAGTTATGACTAGTCAAATACCAGTTGTTCAAAATAGGACAGAACAACTCCCCCTATCACAATGCATAGACTACCCATAATGTGGTTACAAAAACAAACCCTCCTAGCAAAATGCACAGACTACTCACAATGAGATTACAAAACACCTCCCCTTTTCAAAATGCACAACCTATCTAGACTTAATCTTCCTATCTAGGACACAGCCAAGAGAACACCAAGCTAAAAAATCAAAGAGCCACCAGAATCCACAGAGTCATCCGAGTCCTCATCAGTGGCAGAAGCAGGCTGAGGATCTGCAGTGGCAGCAGCAGCAGCAGGTGCAGGAATTGAAGTGGATGGAATGAGGGTCAAAAGATGTTGGATATACTCCTCCTTGGCAGCCAGCTGAGCTCTGAGAGAGGCATTCTCAGAGGAAGACGACACAGAAGTGAGAAAGGTCCTGGAAACTCTCTGGCTAAGGGCAGCAGAGGCCTTGCCATAAGGAGCAATGGGGGGGTGCCACTGATCGGAATCAAGAAATGCCACCCCATTTTTCTCACAAAGGCGCTGAATCAGACAGGGGAACACAAGAGTCCCCTTGTGCTTGGTACCATGACCAATGGTTTTCCCAAGAATGGCATTATATAGGAGATCACCAAGGGGAATTTTATCATGATTCACCATGGATATCATGAGTTGGCAGGCAGCAAGAGTAGGATTAGAATTGTTCCCAGTGGGGAGAACATTATGACGAATAAAATCCCACAAAAATTTATAAAAAGGGGACAGGTAAGACTTGATAGGCAGACCTTTAGAAGTCAAAGGCAAAGATTGATCAGTGTATGCCATGGATTTAAAAAGATCAACAGAGTATTCAGCAGAAGCAAGAGTAAATTTTGCAAAATCAAAACCAGGGCATGATCGAAAGCCTAAGACCCGATTGATAACAGATGGTTTCAGAGTAATGGGTACTGACCTAACCAAAATCTGATATTTTGACCCCTTAGGGTCAGCAGGAAAGTTAGAGTAAAACTCTTGAACAACAGGGATGTTAAACTTACCAGAGAGAGAATTTAGGGCTTGAAGGTGGTAGTGCTCCAAAATCTGATTTGCAGACTCCTGAGCCGCCAAAGGGAACAGCATCAAATGATAAGTCCTCTCAGGAATGAATTTCCTCTTTGAGATAACCTTATCAAAGAAGGAGGCAGCCTCAGAGGACACAAAAGAAGAGGAATCTTCAACAGGGACAGAGGAAGAAGAACGGGTTCGAGGAACCCTAGGAATTGACGGATTGAAATCCACCCTGTCAGGGGATTTTGATTTGGAGCGACGGTGGTAAGTGTGGAGAGGCTTGGAGGAAGACATGATCAGCAGCGGGAAGAAAATTGGAGGAGAAAAAAAACACCAGGAAGAAGGGACGAAGAGACCAGAACAAGGAGAGAGGGAGAGACGAAGTCGAGACTGACGAGAACAGAGAGAGAGATAGGAGGCAAAAGAAACTGACGAAGAAGGGAAAATAAAAGACCTAAAAAGGAAAAAGGCGCAAACGACACGACCTAAAAAAAAAGAACCGCTCAGAACCAAAAATGGAAAAAATAACCGCCAAAACGAAAAATGAAAAAAACGCAATGTTTAGGAAACAAAGCGGATGACTAGTCAACCACAAGCAAGATGACTAGTCAACCCAGGCAAAAGTGGCACAGGCAGAGACGGATGACTAGTCAACCACAAATATGATGACTAGGCAACCACAAATATGATGACCAGTCAACTAATGCAATATGAGAAGGAACAGCAAGGCAAAACACCCAGATGACTAGGCAACCATAAGCATAGATGTCTTAGGCAACTAAACCAGCATTATGACACACACCAAATAATATCGACCCTGTGAAAGACATGATTTTGGTTATTTTTTATTTGGTTATTTTTAAATTTGAAGCATGAACCAGCACATATATCAAGTGACCAAGGTGGCATGAGCACAATAGTCTAAACCAAGTCTTCAACACATGAAGAAAAGAGATGAAAAGGAAGAATAGTTTAAAGACATATGCAGTGTACATAGACAATCAACTCTGAGAGACACGCAATGAGATGCAATTCATGCTCAGAGACAAGGCATATTTAGGAAAGAAGGAGGTTTAGAGCCAAGGGACACAAGAGATGATATCTAATCTCTCTTGGAGAGACACGTATACACTGCATTCTTAAGACATGATCATAGTATGGGCTCACAGCAAAAAATCAGCACTCTCTATGGACAAAATATTTGATGATTGAGTTTGTGGTACTTGCACATCCCGAACATAAGTGCTTAGAATGGCCCAATTTTACGGCTCTTTGCTCTAGATTCTTCAATCAAACCACCTTATACCTTCCTAGAGCCGTGACTACATTGGTCACACTTCCCTTTTTTTTTTTTTTTTTTTTTTTTTTTGTTAAAATTTGAAATAGATTGGCAAAGAGAGTGAGACCAGCTAAGAGAGAATAACAAGAACAGTCCCAAAATGAAGCCGAGATACATGGCTCACCAAGAGGACAAGATAGCAAGATTTTGGTCTCAACTTATAGCTCAAAAACAAGAAAAAGGGATTATGCACAAGTCAAACAAAGCACAAAAACATTCAGCATGCACACCAGCAGAGATGAGTGATATGAACAGTAACATAGTGGACTAGGCAACTTACAAGCAAGATGACTAGTCAACTGTTTGGAAGTGTGCTGAAGACAAGGGGCAGACTAGCTAATCAATCAATGGAACAAAGGCCAATGGATTGCCTTAGTGTACCATGTTTCTGAAAGTCCAAGGCCTTGGTGAGTATATCTGCTAGCTGTTTTTCAGAGGGAACAAATTCCAAAGTTAAAATTTTGTCTTCCACAAGGTCTCTAATAAAATGGTGCCGAATGTCGATATGCTTAGTCCTAGAGTGTTGAACAGGATTTTTTGAAATATCTATGGCACTCATGTTGTCACAATAGATTAGAAAACATGATTGAGCAAGACCATAGTCTTCCAACATTTGTCGCATCCAAAGGAGTTGAGTACAACAACTCCCAGCGGCAACATACTCTGCTTCAGCAGTGGATAAGGAGACAGAATTCTGTTTTTTGCTATGCCAAGCAACAAGATTGTTGCCTACATAGAAAACCCCCCCGGAAGTGCTTTTCCTATCATCACTACAACCTGCCCAATCGGCATCACTATACCCAACAAGATTGACACAAGTGTCATAGGTATACCACAACCCAAATTCACTAGTCCCACTCACATATTTTATAATTCTCTTAACAGCAAACAAGTGAGACTCTTTTGGGTCACTTTGAAACCGAGCACATACACCAACACTAAAAGAAATGTCAGGTCTACTAGCAGTCAAGTAGAGAAGACTTCCTATCATGCTTCTATAGAGAGTTTGATCCACACTTTTGCCATGCAAGTCTCTATGAATCTTAGCACTAGTGCTCATTGGGGTTCTTGCAGATTTGGCTCCTTCCAAACCAAATTTTGTCACAAGATTTTTTGCATATTTAGATTGGGATACAAAGATCCCATCATGGCTCTGTTTAATTTGGAGACCTAAGAAATAATTAAGCTCACCGACAAGACTCATTTCAAATTCACTAGTCATGACATGAATAAAATCTTGAACATGCAAATCAGATGTAGAACCAACCACAATATCATCAACATACACTTGAGCAATCAAGACATCCTTTTTAAACCTTTTCACAAACAATGTTTTATCAACGGACCCTCGAACATACCCATTTCCTAGAAGATGAGAGGATAACCTCTCATACCATGCTCTAGGAGCTTGTTTTAAACCATAGAGAGCCTTTTTTAAACGAAACACATCATTTGGATGATGTGGATCTTCAAAACCCTTTGGCTGCTCAACATAGACCTCTTCATTTAGGACACCATTTAAAAAAGCAGTTTTGACATCCATTTGATAAAGTTTAAATTTCAAATGACAAGCAATGGCAAGAAGCAATCTAACTGATTCTAATCGTGCAACAGGGGCAAAAGTTTCATCAAAGTCAATGCCTTCCATTTGAGTGTATCCTTGAGCAACCAATCTAGCCTTATTTCTCACCACATTACCTTGTTCATCGGTTTTATTCTTGAAAATCCACTTAGTGCCTATGACATTAGTGTGGACTGGTCTTGGAACAAGGTACCAAACATCATTTCTCACAAATTGATTTAATTCTTCCTGCATTGCAAGAAACCATTCACCATGGTGCAAGGCTTCTTTCACATTTCTAGGCTCTTCCTTGGAAACATAACACACATGGCTAATTTCTTGAGCAAGTTGTTTCCTAGTTCTCACTCCTTGATTAAGAGGGCCAATAATGACACTCGCAGATGGAGTGAGAGAACTATGATCAGTATGAGAGCTGTCAGCCTGGACAGAGGAGATGGAACTAGAAGTTGAAGGGGTTGACAGGTCAACCGGGACAGAATTTTCAAAAGTTGACAGGTCAACCACAAGATCCAGACCTGGAGATTCTTGCACAAGTGAAGGAGGAGGAAAAAGACCATCCTCATCTAATGCCATCTCTATAGAGGCAGCAAAATCATCAATAGTGACATTTATGGATTCAATGATGGTTCTGGACCTACAATTGTACACTCTATAGGCTCGGCTAGAAGTGGAATATCCTAGAAAGATTCCCTTATCACACTTAGAATCAAACTTAGCAAGATGCTCCCTATCTCTCAAAATATAGCATGTGCTACCAAAGACCTTAAAATATGACACATTAGGCTTCTTTCCTTTCCAAATCTCATAGGGAGTTTGTTTGGTACCAGACCTCACAAATACCCTGTTTGAGATGTAACAAGCTGTATTGACAGCTTCAGCCCAAAAGTGTTTAGCAAGATTTTTGCTATTTAGCATCACCCTTGCCATCTCTACAAGCACTCTATTCTTTCTCTCCACAACACCATTTTGCTGAGGTGTAATAGGTGCAGAGAACTCATGTTTAATTCCCATCTCTTCGCAAAATTTCAGAAACTGAGAATTCTCAAATTCAGAGCCATGGTCTGTTCTAATTCTAACAAGAGGCAGATGACTAGTCATCTTCTCTTTTTGCAAAAGATGACAAACAGACTTAAACCTTTGAAAAGTTTCAGATTTTTCACGTAGAAATGAGACCCAAGTAAACCTAGAGAAATCATCAACCATGACAAGAATATATTTCTTTCCACCAAGGGACACGGTTTGAATAGGACCAACAAGGTCCATGTGAACAAGTTCTAGAATTACATTTGTTTGAATGTGTTTGACCTTTTTGTGTGACACTCTGACCTGTTTGCCTAATTGACATCCTTCACAAACATGCTCATCAGATTTTTCCAGCTTTGGTAAGCCACTTACTAGCTCTCTCTTGGACAACTTATGCAAGTCTCTAAAATTAACATGTCCAAGCCTTTGATGCCACAAAATACTTGTTTCATTTACAACCTTGTTGCAAACTATTTCTTTTGCATCGTTGACACCATCAATGCAGAAGCAATTGTCCCTAGACCTTGCCACGCTCACAATCTCATTTCCACCTTTTCCAATGATTTTGCAGCCATGCTTGGAGAATCTGACTTCTACTATTCCATCATCACACAGCTGACTCACACTAATGAGATTGGATGTGAGACCCTCAACAAATCTAACATTCTTAAGCTCGGGCAGACCAGGGATACAAACAGTACCTTTTCCAACAACTTGAGATCTATGACCTCCACCAAAAGTCACAGTGCCTCCATCAAAGGGGCTGAGAGATGAGAAAACATTTTTATCTCCAGACATATGTTTGGAACAACCACTATCAAAATACCAAGAGTTGATATTTGAAGCAGCAAAAGCATTTAGCACAACAAGAGATTTGGTATGACCTCTTGCAATCCAAGTAGACTTAGGCACAATAGGGGAACTCATTTTGAGGGAGACAAGTTTGGCTATCTTAGTGACCTCATTCAGCAAATGATCAACTTGATCTTGCAAAGATCTGGGATTCCTTTTAGATTTTGGAGACAATTTTCTGGTCTTATCTTTGCTATACATATGACAGACTGGTCGAATATGACCAGTCAACCCACACCTGTGACAAGTTGGAACAAACTTAGGTTTCTTGACAACCTGCTGAACATCAAGAGGAATCGTGACTGGATTTTCTGATTTGACAAACTTAGTGGTAGAACTAGACAAACTAGAACCAAAGTGATTAAATCCAAGACCACCTTTGTCCCCATGAAGTTTTCCCATATTCAACATTTTGTCAATTTTTGAAGCACCAATGGTCATAGATATAATCTTCCTATTTGCTTCATTCAATTCACCTAGGAGCTGTTTGTTTGAGTTCTGGAAACCAATGTTACTTTCCTTGAGCACATTAACTTGGTTTCGAGGTTACTCCTAATTGACACAAGAGCATCAATTTCTTTTTCTAGAGACTCAAATTTGTCACTCAACTCCTTTTTGGTTTCTTTTAAGATGAGAATTTCATGTTTGAAGATCTTGTTTATTTGCCTCAAGTTTGAGGCTCTCTTCTTTCAAGGACAAGGTCTCTTTAAACAAACAATCATATTTTCTTCCTAATGACTCGTATGACAGGTCATCTGACTCAGAATCAGATTCATCAGACATGGGCTGTACAGAGGCAACAAAGGCAACATGTTGGTCATCATCATCAGAGGAGGATGAATCATCTTGAGAGCCTTCACTTTCACTCTCACTCCAGCTCACTTTCATGGCCTTGTCCTTTCCTTTGGAGTATTTTTTCTGATTGTTTGCACAGTCAGCAGCATAGTGTCCCAATGCCTCCACATGTGAAGCACTTGACAGATTTTCTAAAATCTTTCGTGAAAGGTTTGACATCCTTATTCCTCTCATTAAACCGATCAGTTGATGGTCTAAAATTTTTCTCACTACCAGAGCTGCCGTCTCTAGCAAACTTTCCCTTATCCTTAAGAATTCTCCTAAATTTTTTGACAAACAAGCCATCTCATCCTCAAAACCTGAGGATTTATCACCACCTTTCGGAGACGAAACATGCACTCCTTGAAGTGCAACATTTTTTGATTTTTTGGAGTCATTCTCTTCCATATTCAATTCCATCTCATAGGTTTTCAATTTTCCTACAAGCTTGCCAAGCTTAATTTCATTTAAATTTTGGACCTCCATGATTGCGGTTTTCTTTGCTCTAAACCTAGATGGTAGAACACGAAGAATTTTCTGAACAACAAGAAGCTCTTCAATGGGTTGACCTAGACTCATGGCTTCATTTGTGATCATCTCAACTCTTCCATAGAACTCAGAAATGGACTCAGATTCAGACATTCTAAGTTCTTCAAATTGTGCAAGCACCATCTGAAGTTTTAGGGTTCTAACTTGGTCATCCCCTTCATGAACTACCCTTAGTTTATCCCAAGCTTGTTTAGCATTAGGGATGTGTTGTATATGTGCAAATTGTGTGCTAGACAAAGCTGTAACTAAGGCATTTCTGGCCTTCTTGTTCGAATATGCAGCAAACACCTCAGCTTCAGTCCATTCTGACCTAGGCTTGGACACAAGTTCACCCTCAACAGTCTTGACCGGAGCAACCCACTCTTTTGTGAGATACCCACTTGCATACTCATCAAGAGCATCAAGGAATATCTCAAATTTTTCTCTCCATGCAGCATAGTTATTGCCGTCAAAATAGGGAGGGGAGTTGCAAGATCCAGCAACTCGATCCCTTTCCATAGTGAGCACACCTAAACACCAAAACAAATCCTAGGATCTCTCTATTTTTGTTAAGAGCTGACGCTCTGATACCAATTGAAATGATACTTAGGTGACGAGGGGTAAACTTAATCACATAAACAAGACACAACAACACAGCTAGCTTCACACACTTTAAACCTTGACCAAATACACATATGACTAGTCAACTACTAGTCAAGAAACAATCACAACCAATAGAATACACAGAGCATGCCACAATGTACCTGCAATCCTAGAAGATTACTAGTGACAACCTATGCACTCAGAAGGACCCATCAATCTAGGCATCCCCTGTGCTAGCAACAACTATGGTGAAAGTGTGTGAAAACATCATTATCATGTAAACATCAAACAGCAGATACAGATGACTAGTCAACCACCAAGAACACAAACCCAGAAAAATTACAGATATGCAAAACAGATTTTGTTCACCCAGAAACCCACCATTGGGAAAAACTGGGAGTCATCAACCGACCAGGCAATCCACTAAGTAGAAAAAGATTCTTACAAAGGAAACACAACCAAGCTCAAGAAGCACCTAGGTCTATTTAGGAATATGAGCAATACCTCCTTTGTGCAATCTTCTTCTCCAACTTAGCAAAGCTTGAAGCTCAGTCCTTCATGGCAATGGCAGCTTCTTCTCCAGCTCGTTCATCCCATGGCACTAGCTTGCAAGCTCAACACAAACCGAAACCAATTTGGATTCAAAGGAGAAAGATCAATTTCTTCAAGAAACCATACTCTTGAAGAAATCAATCTTGAATCCGACCTAGATATAAATGATAGAATGATTTAAATAGCTAGATGCAGATTCGTGTTTCAAATGCAGTTTTTCAAAAAGAAATCAATTGGAAAAACTCATAGATGAAATAATGGTTCTCTCGTGGAAGAAGAAGCGAAAGATGGCAAGCCAAACTTTCCAAAACTTCCACCCGAAAAGAGACAGCTGCCAAATGAGAAAAATCGTGGGCTATACAGACCAACCAAATCGTTAGGTCAGCCAAACCCACTTGACAGCAGAGAGAGGAAAGAAGAATAGGACAAAACAGTTTGTTATCCAGCTGGAGGCAAGGATGACTAGTCATATGAGAAACGGTTGACTAGTCATCTTTTTATGAAAACAGTTTTATGTAATGATATGCAATGCTCAATACCTTTGTCAACTTGCTTGAGCCACCATAGAGCAGAGAATAGAGAAGAGCACCAATAAATGTTTTCCCTAATCTAGACTTGAGCTTGATAAATTACATTACACATCCTATTACAAAGTTGTCAAGGGAAGCCAAAAGAAATTAGTAAAAACCATACATTAACAATATCAACACCAAAGTTTGTCATTGTATCGTTCTCCAACTTCCTTTCTGCAAATTCCTCTGGGAATTTCTTTTGTTTAATGTCATTAAGTGTCACAATGGGAAAAACAAAAAGAAGATATTGAAGGTGTCAGAACTGAAGCAAACAATCTTGGTAAACTCTGGGGATGCGCAACCATATCCATTACAAACAGCATAGGTATAGAAAACCATAAAGCAACAATTCTGATGTCAAATAATACAAGCATCTCATTCAATTATTATAAGCACATGTTCTAGGAGTAATGAAAAGAACTGTTGGGCACAAAGGACATTTGTTACCTAGGAAAATTAACACAAGTCAAGGACTAAAAAGGGATTAGAAGATAGATATAGACTAACTCAATTAAATAGAATCAATAACAGCAAAACACTCACCTCGATCCATTGACTGAAATAGGCATGAAATTCTGAAAACATTCCTGAAAAGGATTGCTACAGAATACCACACAAAAGATAAAATAATATAACATTTTAGAATTTCACAAAACCAAATACAATAGCCAGCCAGCTGGTATTACACAATATATACTTAATATCTATGTTTTGTTAAATAAACATAATTCCAGTAAACAAATTACTCAATTTCTTCCTGGTTTCCCAACATTTTCTCAGCAACCAAACAAGAGAAACCACAGCACAAACGCACACTCACCAAAATGTAGTCGTCCGTGTCACCAGAGGTCCATCTTTGTCATTCAGACCGGCATGGTGTAATCCAATGCCAAACTGCAATGTGTGCCCCAGGTTAAAGAACCATCTGCTGGGCTTCTTCTGGCATACTATGAAACTGCCTTGGATGTTCATCTGACATTGCCAACTTCAATAACAGAAAAGCACAAACAAAAATCGAATCAACACAGCAGCCGAACCGAAGAAAAAAAATCCAAGCTTGAGTTGAGAGAGAGGCTCAAGACCGAGTATTTGAATTTTGAAGATTGGACTGCGAGTGCAAGCTTCGTGTTCGTTTCTCTGTCTCTTCATTTCACTCGCGCGCAAGCTTCACTCTGTGAGTGCAAGTTCATTTGAAAAAAAAAAGGACGCCCAGACCCGCCCAGGCCGCCTAGGTGCCGCCTAGAACCGCCCAGGCCGCCTAGGCGCCGCCTAGAACAGCCCAGGCCGCCTAGGAGCCGCCTAGAACCGCCCAGGCCCCGCCTAGGCGCCGCCTAGACCAGCCCAGGCCGCCTAACTCCCTTATAGCATCAGAGTTATCTTAATTAGTGGAGATTTCAATAGCTGAATGACATTTGATGGTTTTCATAGAGAGAGTCCAATCCAATCCAATCAACACAGCAGCCGAAACGAAAGAATTTTTTTTTGAAGCTTGAGAGAGAGAGAGAGAGAGAGAGTCTTTGAAGCTTGGAAGCGCTTATAGAGAAGCGAAACGGCCGCGACTGCGAGTGCGAGCTTCGTGTTGGTTTCGAATATATTTGAGCGTATAGCCGTGCGGCTATACCTTTAAAACATTCGAATATATTCAGAGAGTACAGCCGCACGGCTATACCGTTAAAATAATATATTTAAATAGTACAGCCGCTCGGCTATACTCTTTAAATATACAATTTGTCATGATATTTTAGGGTTTAGGGCTAAAATACCACTTTAGCTAATTAGGATAGAGTTAATTTCTTCAATTATTTTATTTATACCAGTGATATTGGGGAATGAGAATTTAAGTTCTTTCCGATACCTCACATTCTAATGATTTTCAGCTATTAGCCCATTAGGCAAGAATAAAAAATGGATTTTATTTATAAGAAATAATACGGGTTTTAAACCCATAAATGCAACAACAAAAAATAGGAATCCAATCCAAAGGTTTTGGACCTTTCTACACATTACCAGTTACAAGATTTTTATTTGTGGCAGCTCTTCTTGCCAATTAATTTTACGATTTTTAGCACCTTTCTACACATTACCTGTTACAAGATTTTTAGCAACCTTGTAAAATTCAAAGATGCAACTTCATAACATCCTCAATTTTGGCATTACCATACAAAGGTTTTGGACCTTGAGTAGACCAAGTAGCGGTGGCTAGAGCATTTTATCAAATAGTTTTGCGATGAACTAGCAGTGTTAGAACAGCTACCAAGTTCTAACTCCTGTCCTCTTCAGAAAAACAAAAGAAAAACATTATGGGGATAATCTAACTAAAAACGCAATGGCTGAAAAATTTAAATAATAACTATTTTATTGTTGTCTTGTAAGTTTCATCTCTGAATGTTGGCTCTTCAACAATGTGAACAGGAAAGTAGTAATATAGGAAAAGATGTAGACCAGCGCCCATCAAGTGGTTGTGCCGGAGTGGTACCGCCCAGGTTCGAATCCCCGCCGACCACGTTTTTCCATTTTTGAATTACCTCAAGATGAATTTCCTTTTTTATTTTGACATTTGGCTACAGAACTTCTTAACAATCATGAGTTACTTTTGAAGTTTCACATGTCCAGATTCAAGCCTTCAAAGTGAGGGCCTTGAGAAGGAGTCCATTTTCAGTGATTTTGTCTCCCACAGTTCTCTCTCAAAATCTTCATCTCTAATCCTAGACATTTTGCCATTCTACATATCTCCCCAGACTGTGTGGGTGGGATGTACCACCTGATGAAAACCCATGCAGATACAGGGAACCATCAGCATCACCAGTATCCACCCAACTATATCACAATTCCTTTCTCACTCCTTCATCTCTCTTCCATTTCCCAACTTTTGCTACCATTTCCCAGTCCCCTTTCTCAGCATACAAGTTGGACATCAACACAAAAGAACCAGATTCCATTGGTTCCAATCTCATTCATGTATTGGCTACTCTCTCCGCCATCTCCACATTCCCATGGATCCTGCAAGCCCCGAGCAGGCTATGCAACAATGAACACCCTGGCTGTCTCGGGATCTGACTCATCAATTCCTCTGCTTCCTCCAATTTCCCTGCACGTCCCAACATGTCCGCCATACTTGAATAATGTTGAGGAGATGGTTCAATATGATAGTCCTTCACCATTGAATGAAAGAGGTGACGGCCCATCTCCACCATTCCATTTCTGCAGCCTGCTGCTAGTATAGAAAGAAATGTGACTGAATCAGGTCTTACCCCTTCTCTCTCCATCTCCTTGAACAATTCTATCACTGAGTCATAGTCTCCATGCCCAGCATATGCAGATATTATTGCAATCCAAGCAAACTGACTTTTATGAGGCGTCTCACTGAAAACTCTTTTGGACTCACAAATGCTTCCTCGCTTTGCATACATATCAAGAAGAGCACCTGCGATAATTGGGCCAGTCACTAATCCAAGTTTGATCAAGGAAGAGTGGCATCATTGGCCATATTTCAGAGAAATATCATGAGCATCACCAATTGCACTCAAACACAATACCAAATGTGTAATTGTTTGGCTTCGACTCCATAGTTGCTACCAAGTATGTTTTTAGTGCATCTTGACACAGCCCATTCTGAGCATACCCTGAAATCAAAGCATTCCAAGATATGATTTCTCTGCAGTTTAACTCCAACTTTGATGGAGTCATGCATGGACTCAAACTTAGCATACCCAAGCTGTTGCAAACATTATGCTTTGATAAAAAGCCAGCCTTTATGCAAAACCCATGAATCATTTCCCTTCCTCCACCAACTTCCTAATTGATATAGCATGGATTATTCCAACAAATGTAACATCATTTGGGATATACTCCATCCAATCTCACCTCATTAAATAGAGAGATGACATCTTCTTCGTCTATTGAAATCATAGTTGTCCAAGACACTATGTTGCGATAATTCATGCACTGAAAGACTAATTTTGCATCTTCAGTGACCTCACACTTTGAATATGTTGAGATCAATACATTACAAACTGAAACATGACTTCCATATCCTGATTTAATTGTCAAGCCATGTATCTGTTTCCCAAGTTTCTAAATTCATTTCATGACCACAAGCTGAAACTGCACTAGTAAATGAGACATGATCTAACCCCATCCCTTCTCCCACCATCTCAATAAAGACAAAAATCGCCTCAAGCCCATGATTTCCCTCTTGAGAGTAACCTGCTAGTATTGCATTCCATGAAACCAGATCCTCATTCGCCATTTCATCAAAAACATTCCTAGCTTCTATTAACCGCCTCTACCTTGAATACATACGTATAAAAAAAAACTTCACCATCTAAACCAAACTTAAATATAAGGGAATGCAGTTATAATCCAAATAGAAAATCTTCATGATCCGCACAAAAAGCAAGAATCGTAGTATAAGTCACTGGATAAAAAAGAACTCCATTAAAATTCATCATAAGAGCAAAATTCAATGCACCCTCACTTGTTCGAAACCCCGAAAGAATAGTATTCCAAGAAACTATATCAGTACAGCACATAGTCTGAAAGATAAGTAAGGGACCATCAAATTGACCATCAAACTGACCGGCCTTGAGATAGCAAGGGTAACGGTGTATTTTCATCGATGATATGAGACAAATGTAGTGAAGTTTCTTACAGAACATGTCAAGGGCTCTAAAGGGTAACGGTAACTTCATCGTGTTCATTTCTCTGTTCTTCATTCCACTCGCACACCCATTCCTCTGTGAGTGCAAGTTTTGTCTGTCTTCATTTGGAACAAAAAGAGAGGTGCCAGACCCGCCCAGGCCACTAGGCGCCGCCTAGACCCACCAGAGCCGCCCAGGCCGCCTAGGCGACGCCTAGAACCGCTAGAACCTCCTAGGCCGCCTAGAACCTCCAGCCGCTAGAACCGCCAGGCCACTAGAACAGCCCAGGCCGCCGAAACTATAGTATCAGAGTTGTTATCTTAGTGGAGATTTCAAGGGCTGAATGACATTTGATGGTTTTCGTAGTAGAGAGATTCCAATCCAATCCAATCATCAACGGAGCAGCTGAAACGAAAGGAAAAAAACGAAGTTTGAGTTGAGAGAGAGAGAGAGAGAGAGAGCCTCAAGACCGAGTCTTTGAAGCTTGGAAGCGCTTATGGAGTAGCGAAATGGCTGTGACTGCGAGTGCAAGCTTCGCGTTTGTGAATATTTCAGCAGTATAGCCGTTCGGCTATACCCTAAAATATTCTAGAGCATAGCCGACGGCGATACCGTGAAAATAATATATTTAAGTAGTATAGACGCTGGTCTGTACCTTATATATATCGAAGCGTATAGCCGTAGGGCTATACCTTGAAAATAATATATTTAAATAGTATAGCCGTCCGGCGATTATCTATAAATATACATTTTGTCATGTTATTTTAAAATACCACTTTAGCTAATTAGGATAGAGTTATTTCTTCAATTATTTTTATTTATATAATGATATTGGGGAATGAGAATTTAAATTTTTTCCGACACCTCCAATTCTAATGATTTCCAGCTATTAGTCCATTAGGCAAGAATAAAAATGGATTTTATTTATAAGAATTAATACGGTTAAACCCATAAATACGACAACAACAAAAGGGGATCCACCAACATTTTGGGGATAAAAGAATCTTGAATTTCGTATTATAAAATTGCTTGTGCAAGAATTTACTTAGAGCATCATTCAAGCAAAATGAAAAAGTAAAAAATAAAACATAGAAAGTGTAATAAAATTGAACCATCTTGGCAATCCAAAAAAGAAGAAATAAATAACCTAGAATGAGAAAATGAAAGAATGTGTCTGCATATCATGGTCCTCTTTTTGGATAATGAACATGAAGCAATTTCAAGAAGTACAGATAATAGTAAACATGGAAGATGAAAGAAGATAGATTGCATATGCTTTAACTGGGGGACGCCCTTTCACTTGTATGCAGGCTTCAACATTGTCTTGCTTTATGTATATCCGCTACATGCGGAGTTTCCAGATATGTTACAATGGATAGCTGATTTCATTGGTCTATTCAAGATAACTTTTCATTCGGATTGGACTGAAGTTTGTTCGAGCTTCTCTCTTTTACTTTTCTACATCATGGTTTGTCTATCTTTTATGACATCTACAAATCCAACACAGTTTATGTAGCAGGATACTTGAAAACCGGTGACTTCAGCATCTCTACAGTGTAGGTTCTGCAAGTTGAGCAGGTAATAATTCATGCTGGATGGTTTCTTTTGCGGTTATATCATCCAGCAATGATTCAGGTAAGAAAAAATGAAGATGTGGAATTAGAAAACGGCAACGAGACATTATGTTACTTATAAAAGGCGTGGTGTGTGGTAATCCGTGCTCTTGCTATAAGGGTTCCAATTCTTAAAATCTTGCCCGCTTGCTTATACCTGGTTGGGTTTGCTTGTACCCTTCTTCTTCTAAGCGCTATCCTGTGTGTACATGTGAGTCAGGAGGAAAGGATTTAATGTAAATGAAGACCAATAATTTGAGTTAGAAAGCAATCCTAATCTCTCTCAAGCGCAAGAGAGAAAAAAATTATCCATAGGGAAGGGTGGTGGTAGTAGAATATTTAAAAAACTATTATTAAAGAGTACAGCCGATAGGTACTATATTATCGAATAGTATTGAAGATTTTAATAGTAGAGCCAAAGAGTCCGGCGTACCTTCGAGTATATTAGGACTACGTTAAAGTAGTAGTCCTGAGGGCTTTGACTTTAAATAATTATTATGTTTGAAAGGTATAGTAAAACAGCACGGCATCATGGCATATTCAGAGAAAGAAATATTGCCCGAGCGTCAAAATGCATCAAGACATATACCAAAGTGGGTTGTTGGGCTTCGACTCCATAGTTGCTACCAAGAATGTTTTTAGTGCATACTGGAAACAGAAAGTTATGAGAATACCCTGAAAGCAACGCAGTGCAATGATTGATTGCTCGTAAGTTAGCGCCTCAAAAAATTGATGGAGTCAGGCATGGAATCAATGCTTAGCATACATGATGATCAGCTGCTTGCAAACATTTAGCTTTGAAAAAAGCCAGTCTTTAGCAAAACCCATGATATATTTCGCCTTCCCACCAACTTACTAATGATATAGGCTATGGAGGCGGCCACAAAATGTCGATCACTTGGCGATATACGCCATCCAATCTCATCTAATAAACAGAAGAGACAGCTTCTTCGTCTAAACTGAAACATGCTCAATATATGGATTCATGTCAAGCCATGTATCGTTCCAAAGTGCTAAATCATTTCAGTCCGCAAGCTGACTGAATAGAAAATGAGACATGATTCCCCCAACCCTTCTCTCCCCCATTCAATAAAGACAAAAATGCCTCAAGCCCACGATTTCCCTCTGAGAGTAAAAATGATGTATTGCCTTCCAAACACCAAACTATCGCATTTCAAAAACACACTCCTAGTTCTATAACCGCCTCAACCTCGATACATAGGTAAGTGAACCCAAACTTCCCCTATAACCACTTAAAGATAAGAGAATGCAATTTAATCACAGAATCTTCATGATCGCACAAAAAGCAAAATCTGTAGCTAAGTCAGGATAAAACAAAACAGCATTAAAATTCATCCAAGAGCAAAATTCAATGCACTCCACGTTGTCGACACCCCGAAAATAATAGTATTCAAGAAACTATTCAAGCTATCACCCTAGTCGCAAAATAAGTATAGGACCATCAAACTGTCAGCTTTGGGACATACACATCAAAGAATTGACAATGTAGTATCAAGCAAACCCAGAAGAAAACTGCAAACACCGGATCTGCACTCGGGTGTGGGGGAAAAAAAAAAAAAAAAAAAAAAAAAAAAAAAAAAAAAAAAAAAAAAAAAAAAAAAAAAAAAAAAAAAAAAAAAAAAAAAAAAAAAAAAAAAAAAAAAAAAAAAAAAAAAAAAAAAAAAAAAAAAAAAAAAAAAAAAAAAAAAAAAAAAAAAAAAAAAAAAAAAAAAAAAAAAAAAAAAAAAAAAAAAAAAAAAAAAAAAAAAAAAAAAAAAAAAAAAAAAAAAAAAAAAAAAAAAAAAAAAAAAAAAAAAAAAAAAAAAAAAAAAAAAAAAAAAAAAAAAAAAAAAAAAAAAAAAAAAAAAAAAAAAAAAAAAAAAAAAAAAAAAAAAAAAAAAAAAAAAAAAAAAAAAAAAAAAAAAAAAAAAAAAAAAAAAAAAAAAAAAAAAAAAAGGGTCGCAAAGGTGGAAGATAAAGAAAAAAAGATGAGGTAGCAGATAAAGAAATCCAGCAGATCTTAAAATTAAGACACAGCTGGGTGCGAAAGGGTAAAGGACCGGGGCGTTTAGGCATGCCGAATCCCGGAGGACACTAGCAGAACAAATATTTCCGCAACACGAAGAGGTGTAAGTTTGAGCATGCCAGATCCACCTCGTACACCAAGCACTACCAAAGGTGGATTCGAGATCTCTAAGTGTCTTTGAACAACAACACCCCATACCGAAAATACATAGGGATGTAGCAACTAAAATAGAGATATATATTTAATCACATTGTTGAGGATTGATTTTATCTCATGAGTTGAATTATGGTCCGGCTAAATTAGTACCAACATGGATGGCAGACGGTCCATCTACGTTACGTTACGGTTCCGATTGGGCAGTGGTGTTGTCCTTGTGACGTAAAGGCAATGAGGTTGGATTAGTTGGAACATCTGAATCAATATATTTCAGGATTCGATATGTATAAGGATAAATGGGTTAGTTATAAATCAGTAATCTTGTAATAATTCAGGATCGCAGAGGTGCGGGACCAGGGATTACTTACAGGTAATCGGGAGGCACCGCACGGTCAAAATTCGCCAAGACTTGCCAAACCCGTGGAGGACGTGAAAGGAACAGGGACTGTGGTGGCCCATGACATCAACACATCACCGAGCACGCAGATAAAATGTCCTCCTCTTTGGGTCGCACAATCGGAACAAAGACTCCAAACTAGAGGGTACAAAATTTGGTGTTAGGAAGAAAGAGTCATCCAAAAGCAAAGCAAAAATTAACCAACCCAACTGCGTACCGACGAAGCAAAACAATCTTTGTACAAATTACGGTGTTGGTTGGATATATATGTACGGAGGGACAAATAATAAAAACATGAAAATAAAAAAGAGAAAATTAAATGCTACAGCCATAGGTAAATATTAGCGTTAATGGGCGGGAATGATAGATGTGTGGTGTGCCTAACTTACAAGGGAATATTTTTCAATTATCTCATCGATAATAGGTAGCCTAGGACTATGGTCATGTGTTAGCACCTAGATGAATAGAACCGATAACTATAAATCTGTTGGGTTGGCAATAGGGGTAACGTACTCAAAAAAAACAGAAAAAGATGGTAAATATAAAGAGAACAATAAAGATGATGGATATAGTGCAAGGTAAAGAACAGAAAACGCAAAAGTTACAAACACGAAACAACCAACTGGTGTGGTGTATATGTTTAATTCGAGAACACCGGTCAATTCATCTAGTAAGGGGGGGGGGGGTGGGGGGGAAAGCGCGTATTACATGATAAAAATAACAGCAATACAAGTGGGAATAAGATCAGGGGTAAGGGGAGAAGTCGTGGGCCGTGTGAAAAAGTGGTTGGTGAAGAGATCGTTACATGGCAGACGGAAATCAAAAAGAGAAGGAGAGCTAGGAGTAAATGAATTAAGCTGACGGAGACATCAAAATAAGGGTAACACGTGTTGTGTGTGGTTCCAAGTACGTACTGGATAACCCTAGCTCGAAGCTATGTAAACTGTTGCACTATTGGAGGGCGCAAAGGTTAATGGATACGTAAGTTCGGCAAGATGCGTCATGACAGCTTTGGCGGCGCTCACAAGCGCCTGAATACGGGTGGGGTAGTGCCCGCGTGTTGGGCGTGGGTCGTGATAGCGCGGGGTTGTTGGCGCTTGAAGATTTGGTTCGTGCGGAAGGGGGGGGATGGGTGGGGGTGCACATCAGCGAAAGCAGGCGGCCGGTCAGACGGGGGGGGGTCACGATGAGCGGCAAATGATTAATGAATCTGGCCCATTCAAAGTACAGACTGTGGGGAACTACACGTAGATGATTTGTAACAACAGGAATGACCCTCTTGTTATGCCTTACTTCCGTCTTCTTATATCTAAGTTCGCAGGAATGATGATTAGCATCAACCGTGGATGTGAATATTTGTCGTATCCCAGTTTTAATATTTTAGTTGTTTTTGAGTGCCACGGTGTGTGATAGTTGAAGGTTAAGGTTGTCGGTAAGCTTGAAACTCGCGAGCAGAACTATTCCAAGTTCAATTGAGCGCTCAGGCGAGAGGCGTGGTTGTTGTGGTGTCAGTCCGTAGACATAGGCAGCAGGGGGTGTCTGCTTTGGTATTAAGTAGCGGGTCCCCTTACATCACTGAAAGAAGCCAAGGTGTGAGTCTGAAATTGCTGAGGTCGGAAGAGAGGCTGCAATGAAGCCGGAGGGCGGTGGCGTACCAGCTGGGGCATCTGGAAGCGGTGGCGGTGGCGTAAAGAGCGAGGTAGAAGCGCGAATAGGCGGCGGCAGGCGGGCCAAGCGAAAAATTCGCTTGGAAAGGTACGAAGTGAGTAAAGGGTTTGGCATAAGTTGGAAAAATGGAAGGGGCGGATCTGGTGTGTGGTAACGGAGGGATTTCTAAGTTTAGGGCTGGTTACATGCATAACCATGGCTTTCCAAGGTAGAGTTAGCAACTGGCCTAGCATTGGGTTCATTAGATGATCTCTACGATGTTTTGACGCGGTGTGGTCGTCAGTCAAATTTTCTGTGTGTCACCAAGGGTTGATGGGTGGAATAGTAAGATGGCTAAGCCAATACATACAAGAGCAAGATAAGGAGAGAGCTGATGGTTTAAAACCGAGTAAGAACTCAAACATCAGGCAAAGGAAGCTACACGCTGAGGGGGAAAGTGAAGTGCGAAGAGGCTAGATATTACATTCCCCGTCCTCCATACAACTTCGATACAGCGAGAATACTTGCTGTTAAGCTGGTATTCGCATCAGCCAATTGCAGCAATCTCGACCACGCCGGGTCGGAAAGGAAAGGTGCCCGGGTATCACTGGCCACGACATATGTGTATGGCGAAGAGTACAAAACAACGGAACAGGCGCAACGTAATAGGATCTAACAGAGCAGGCGGTATGAAAAAAAACGGATAGAGTGGCGTGTTAGAGATAGCGAAGCGCTGGTGCGGCCCTTGGGGGAAAAGTGCGCTTTTGCTTACCGTATTAGACAGAAAAAAAAAAAAAACCCAAGAAGGTGGGCAGGTTAGGCATTTGTACATTGATGGGATGGTGGGGAATAGGAAGGCGGGCAAATCAGGGCAACCAAAAAACGAAAGTAAAGAACATCTAATGACAGTGCTCTAACTGGTGGGAAGGTGGTGCACACTTACGGTAGTGTGTCACGTCCAGTTTTGAAAGCGTGTGCTGGGGGGGAGGTCACGTATCGCCTTTGGTGCAAAGTAATAATAGATAGCACCGTTGCGGGGAAGGTGGGGAGAGGAGATGGTGGACGGACTTTCACCGGCGGTGTAGAAGTGCGGTTAAAAACGAAGGATATTAAAGCCAAACAAAAAAACAAAAGTGCTGGTGACAGCGCATGGCTGGTGGGCTTGAAAACCATGACGTGATGACAAGACCATTAAAAACGGTAATTACACACAAAGGATGGCTCTAGTGGACGTATAATCAGTCATTTCATACTGCAGGTCAGTAACTATGAGGGAGGGACCACCTGCACTTTGTCTGCTGAATATAAATAAACAAGTATCTCGGGTCGAGGTACATGGTGGTCCTGAAAGAAGATAGGGTTTGAAACGAACACTTCCCATCTTTGTGATAGGATTCATATTATGCTCACTGCAAGAAAAAAATGACTTCCTTTTCATATCTCTTTCGCGATCGAAATAAGACACAGACAACCTCGTGTTGCGATGCTCTATTTACCATCGACAAAATGACAAATAAGCAACCCGATCTCCGGTTGATTCTCTCCTATCTAGAGAAGGATGAGAGGGTGTAGCTTGCATGAGCAATGCCAACCGACATATTCATAATTAAATTGTTAATATCAACTGCATAGCTGATGTTTAATATGATAATCTATCATATCATTCATAACTGAGTTAAAATAAAATAAAGAAAAACAATCCTTCTCGAAGTTCTCTATCAACGTGGAACTCCATTCAAAACCAGTCTTGAATCAAAGTGGATTTGGACGGCTTGAAATCCTATTTCTCCAATAAAACATGAAAAGGCCATCTTATCAGTCACCATGATACTTTATTTCTTACCAAGTTTGAATAGAATTTGACTACAACTGCACGTATTATTAGAACTTGAAAACTTTATTTCCTATGTCCAATACTTTAGGGAAAAACACACGCAATTGACTTTTTAAAGTGCCCAAACTAGTAAAAAATTATTCTTTTTTTTAAAAGGTCACGAGCTGACCCCCTAAACCTAGTAAAGAGTGATGCATTCACCCTCAAATTCCAATGTTTTGGGGCCGACTGTCCAAAATTGTCATGTAGTGGGCCCCTATATATTGAACCGCCCGGGTTCAAAGGCTGGGCTTTGTAGTGGGATCGGTTTATACTAGAAAACTGGAAACCGACTTTTCTTTGAGACTGACTGGTCTATATATAACAAGAAGAAATGAAAACCCATAATTATTGGCAACGGGAAATGAGAACCCATAATTCTCAAAATTACGAACCAGCCAGACCCAAAGAGCACAACCCAACCAAAAGCTCCGTTCTAGCAAATGTCACCAAATAATAGTGACTAAAGTCTTTAGTCACCCCCATCAAATGCCACCATAATGGTGACTATTGACACTTTTGTTTTGTAGTGTACACTTGTTGACAAAAAGAAATTGAAATTTCAACAACACATTATCGTGTGAGGAAAATTCTACCAAAATTGCTCTCTCACGCAAATCACGCAAGCGGATGGATCAACCGTAATACTGACAACCTTGCTTTATATACGGAGAATTCTTTTGCCATTGAGGCGTCCTTAACGCGCCATAATTGTCTTTTACTTAAATCTGGGCTCCCTCCTTCATCCCTCATTCCTCTCTCTCAAATTTGTTGGATTTTGGCTAATTACATCATTTGCTTAATTTAAGCACGTGGGGGTGCGTGAATATCTTGCTCTGATACCATATTACAATATGAGATTCCATCATAAAACCAACTGGCAATGCAAAATCATTTGATTTGTCACTGTGGAATTCACACTCTCGACTTTAATACGAAGTAAAGAACATTATCCAAATTCTCATAGCTCGTGTTTTTTGCTTTAACGAACAATATGAGATCATGTTAATTAGATACGAAAGGTTCAGATGAGAGTCACCGGGAAATTAAATCGTCCACAAAACAAGACTTGAATTAAGCTTTTGTTGGAGCGTAGAGCATTGCTATACTGACTATGCTGTCTGCTGAGATTGTTGCTCAGGTTAGATTTTGGGGCAACATATGCTGTCTGCTACTTTCTCTAGATGCTGTTGTCTTTTTTATTCACAAGCTCTCAATTGTTAACTTTCACAATGAAGTCTTCCTTGCCAAGCTCTACCATTTAATTACAACTAGAAATCAGCGCCACTGCATATATCAAAGAACTTCAATGTTTATGAAACTTTTTACAAATAAACATAAAAACTTTTCATTTATTCGAACTCAAATACAATCGCGGTCTCATTTATTTTAACCAGTACTACACTCAGATTGATGATTATGAGACATGATTTCTACTAATTCGGTAATGAAATAGGGTTTAGGGCAACCTCTACGAAAAACATATACACTTGATAAAGGCAAAAATGTAAACACGAAGAAAAACAGCTAAACGTTTATGTTTCCCAATTCCAAAACACTTACCGTAGGAGGAGGAGAAAACTGACGTGGCTAGGCAAGCCTTATTTGCCTGCTCCTTTGCATAATCCCTTAGAGATGCTCTTAAGACTGGTTTGTGGAATCAGTCTTTACAGATAACGAATCGACAGGCTATTAAGATGATAACCGAGTAGACAAGAAGGGCAGCAAATACCAAGTAAATGAAGCCATTTCTCAGATAAACGTTCACAATATCGCCCTTCAAAATCTGTTGCTGTTGCTGAAGCAGATCATGAGTATTGGTTGGATCTCTTCGTTGGAGCATTTTTCGGTGGTGATTCGAATCTCGCTCCATGACAGTGATGTCGTGCTGGTGTTGTATACGCTCCAACTTGCTGGCGAATCTGGTGAAGCTTATGGAAAAGATGAAAGTAATCAGAGACGAGAGGCTGAACGGAATCCACCAATGCTGGCATCTGATGGCTGGGTTTTGGTGAAAAACAGACAAGAATATAACAGCTTGGAAGAAAATATAAGCGATGACCAGCTTTATCGTCCTTGTTTCATAATATCTGATTTTTTGGTCTTGTTTTTCTTCAAGGGAAGCTAATTTGATGGATTGCATGTCTTCTGGATCCATGTTTGGTTCTTCTTAACTTGTGTGTACAAGTTGAAGATAGTAACCAGACTCTTGTTCCAAACGAGTGACTACAATTTGAAGTTAGAGAGGGTGACCATATCGGATGGAATTTCAGTGATTTTAATTTTAAAGGCAATCGCACTACCTGGTTTATATTGAAAGGCATTCTCCAAACCCGTTGTCCCTTTCGGAGTTGAATATACAATCTCCCTCACGACAAGAACTTGTATATCACTATATCCAACCAATCACGTTATATACAAGTTTTTCCACTCCCTGTCTCTGTCCCAAATTAAACCTGTCTGTACCAAATAAAATGAAATACCATAGTTGTAATTTCCGATTTTACCCTTGCTGATTGTCCGTGTACACCACTCTCGTATTTATCTATACAAAAAAAGACTTAAAATATAGGACCAGAAACAAAACCCACCATATAATCTTCTCCCACCCAAGATCTGCCATAGCCACCACTCTGCCCGATCTTCATAAAATATATGTATATATATAAGTCCCTTTTTATTGAGGAATTTATCAAATAATTTTATTTGAGGGACATCCTTTAGGTTCCTCTACAAATTGTTTTTTAACGATTCAAATCATTTATTTTTTAAGTCTACATTCATAGATTATTCTTGCAAAAAATTAGACAAATTGAAAATCGTTTCGACATTCAATTGTGTCATACAAAATCAATGAACACGGTACTTCAAGAAAAGACTAAAATTTCAATAATTTAATTGAGTGGTTAAATGATATCGGATCGAAGTGAATTTTTTGTAGAGATGATCTTTAAATGAATATCTATAAAATAGACGGTTTGGATTAGTGAAATACAATACGGAGTTTGTCTTATAAGGGTGTCCCTTAAATAAGCTTATTTAAGGGATCCCTCAACTGAAGCTATATATATTTCACTTAAAATAAGAAGGAAAGTAAAGCTGACACACTCAAAGGATTAAGAGCGAAACTGGTCCATGAATTAGAGCGAGAGAAGTGTGTGTTCTTTTGGGTAGAGATAGAAACTTGGACTATGCAAAACTTGACCTGAATGAATGTTTTGATTATCTTTTTGATACACCCTTCTTTTCTGAACAATAACCACACACAAAAGCTATTAATTAGTGTTCCTTTGTACGTTTGCCATCCACCATAGTGATGATTAATGTGTAGTTAGTTAGAGGGCCAGGTGCCAGTAGCTGAGTAAGCTCTAGTCTGTTAGATTGTTAGCACAGAATAGTTAGTTTGTTAAGATATAGTGGTAAAGCTATATAAGCTGACTTAGCTTAAGCTCTATACCAAGATCAGTTGTGTACAAATCTCAAAGGATTGCAAAGGATCCACTAATGTAGTGGTTTAGTGTAGTGGTTTGGAGTAATTGCTCCCCAAATGCAAGGTCCTAGAGGTTCGAATCCTTTTATTTCTGCCTTGTAATTTTTTTGATTTCATTCTTTTGGTTCCATGTTATGATCTTTGTAAAGAATTACTTTTCTTATACTCTTTCTTCCATCCAATTTGACCATGCCCTTTCCACAAAACTCATACGTCTATATTTCAAGGATCCAATAGAATCAAAGTTTGGGGGGGTGACGAGCACTTATTCTTGATTGGATGGTTGATTCTTCATTAAGTCGATGGGACCACGAGGAGTATCATGTGGTGGATGATCTTCGATCTTGACATTGTCAGGAAATTGATATATGTGGTGATTTCTCCAAGAACTTTCTCAAGAAGACTAGTATTTTGTTTGGCCGGAGGGTTTTCTGACTTGCAAAGGGTTTGTCCACAAACGCCACGCATTTTGTCCACAAACGCCACGCATCTACCAAGCAAAGCAAGCCCAATACGAAAGCAAACAAGCTGTCGATCTTAAAAGAAAATGAGAGACAAGGACAAGAGAAAGCAAGGGAGACCTAAGAGGGAACGCAAACGAAAAGGAAGACCCAGAAAGATTTGTCAGCATATGAATTGCGGATCAGATGCAGTGCCTTCTCTGCGTTCAATTCCTTTCAATCTCTACAAGTCGGAGCTGTCTGTGCCATCCATTCAAATTTCAATTGGCAAGACAAAACAAACGTTAATTATCGAACAGTACTATCGATGGAAAAAAGAAGAAGAAAAGAAAGACAGCGAAGCCAGGAACAAAGACCAAGACGATTCCAAGTCAATTGGCCCGTTTATCTCCCTTAGTTTTTTTTACTTCGTTTGGTAAATAATTATGGCCATGTCCGGGTCCATTCTGATGAAGTGATTTTAAATCTAGAGATTTAGATGACATCATAATTAAGGTGAAATTATTTATTTAATTAAACCACTGCAATCTTTGTATGTCGAGATATGAATAAAAAAGAAACCAAGAAAATAAATGAATTTTAAATGACTACTTACATAGTCATTTCAAATCCATTCTAATATCTTTTAAATTCGTACAATTTAATATTTTTTAGTTTTTTTAAAGCAAATTTAACTTCGCTGTCAAATCCAAATTCATTCTTTTAAATAATCCAAGCTGAGGCTTATAGTTATGTAGTCTTGTTTTGATTTTGCTAGGTCGAAATTGTCTTAGCTTGAAGATTATAAGGTGTTTTTTTTTGTCATTCATGTGTACTAAAGGCCTAAATTCATCACAATCTTATACTTTATGTGGTCTTTATTTAATTCATCAGAATCTTATACTTTATGTGGTCTTTATTTAATGCATGGCATTGAGTTGCATGATGTGATGCGTGCTTGGGTCAAGACAAAGAAAAATTTGTGTCGAGAGACCTTAAGCATGGTTGGCTAAAGGCAATATTAGTATCTAATAGCAAATAATCATGTTTATTAGCTATTAGACATTAATGTCTTTAGCACATCAGCATGTGTCACTTGACTATTAATATTTTTTCTTATATTGATGATGCGCTATAATATAAAAAATATTTGAATTAACACTACTATGTTATATATTTTAGGAATGTTAAGAAATAACACTTAGAAAAGTCACATGTATTCTTAAAGCAACTCCAACTGATGTGTTTAAATTGCCACATATATAGCATGTTCCTTAGAGTTGGTTTTATTGGTAAATCGTTATACGCACAAAATCATACAAAACATTGCAATTGACTAGCACGAACTCCAATTGTAGTGGCATTGATAAGTGGAGTGTGAAACCTAGAATTTATTGTTGATCAACGTACACTTCACTACTGAAGAAGCCCTAGTATTGGGTGCAGATGCTTATACACCCGGTGCCTTCACAAAGCCTAATGCACTTCTCACTGGGGTGCTTGCCATGGTGAGCTTCCCTACAGGGAATGGTCCAGCAACTCACAAGCACGATGATGGCAAAGCTTACAAAGAGACCAATGCAAATTTGGAAGTAGATAGCACGTAGAATTTTTTTATATTTATCAACATGAGCGGACCAAGCGCTTTCAGGATCTTGAGAAGCAACCTGTTGATGTTGTCTTGGCACTGAAGTAGTTGGTCTCAGTTCAGAAGCTGGTTGTAGGCTTCTAGGATCTTGGGAAGCAGCCTCTTGATGTTGTGTTGGCGCTGAAGGACTTGGTTCACATTCAGAAACTTGTATTTTTGGTGAATTCTCTGATCTTCGGTCTGAATTATGCGAATAATTTTGCTTGGCCTGAGTACTTTGCAATTGATCGCGTTCCCGGATGGTATTGTCTCTATGCACGAGGCTTCTTTTATAACTCCCTCCAATTACAATCAATGAAAACAGATTGAGTATGGCCGCTATTAGAGAGAGACTGAAAAAGAACCAACGATCTGAGCATCTAACATTGGCAATGCCCCCCAAAATAACTCCTTGAAAAACGAAGTAGTAGTTTGCAAGGGTGAAGGCGCTCTTTTGAAGATCTTTTACAAGATCACTCTGGTTCTCAAATATAGTTCGTAGCTCCTCTTTTCTTTTCTCTATATTTTCTTTCTCCACATTTGTTGGACATGGATTGTTAGCCATCAGTATGCAGCACACGCACAGAAGTGGATAATGCACTCACACTAAAAGAGCTAAAGATATATAAGAATATGCAAAGTGTAGAGCAACCTCCTCCTTTACTACTATATATATATATATAAAGATAGATTCTAATAAAATCTTCCTTCTAAGAAACATATGGGACTGCATGGTATTGGCAACAACTTTTTTTTATTTTTTATTTTTATACAAACGATATTCTAATATTTTGATTTTCTGGATTTTTTAGTTTTTTAGTCTAATATGAGAAAAATGTGAGCCATTGGGCTAGTTCTTTTTGTTTTGTTTTTCAAACGGTATAATAAGTGGGTTACGTGAGTTTAGTTTTTTTTTCGTAAGTCCTTAGAAGTCATGAGGGTGAAAATAACAACACTTTATTTATTTTGTGCAAAACCTCCCTCCCCATAACGGATGCAGAATAATCTTCTCCTGATTTTTGGTGTTCCAACTCGAATAATTAAAAATAGCATGATGCCAGGTCAGATGATTGATTTGGTGTGACAACCCAATAAGAAACAGCCACATATGCCTATGTTATCAACTCAATCTAATAGCGTCCACAGAGAGAAGGACTGGTTTCTGAAGACGTAGGATCTTTTCTTGCAAGGCAGGATTTGGCAGCTTCAAACAAATCAAACACGAGCCAAGACTTTTCATTCTCTTTCTCTCGTCCACTTATTTGTCCATAAACTCTTCTGACAAATTTTTCACCAAAACCAGTTGGATGGGCAGGTGACCAAAAGAGGACCTATATTTGGTTGGCGGCTCAGGTAACTCATTTTCCTGATTGTCTTTAAAGACAGCGTTTGAGTACTGTATTTAGGGTGCCGGCTGTTGCTCTGAAATTCTTTTACTGTAATTTGCTACGAAAACTAGCGTTATAATTGTTGTCCATTGTTCTATTTTCGACAACTCTGTGTTCATTCCTTTCAATTATACATACATAACTTTAGGTTCTACATATAAGAAGGCCAATTAGAAAATCATATATGAGGATTAGTTTGGTTGTGTCCTTCCTTTGCAAGTTCATCTGCAATGCAACTATATTCTCCTCTCCATAAGCGCACCTTGAATAAAGGTAATTCTTGTAGTTTTTCAAACAATTCTGGGCCAAAGTTTGCTTACACATGGCTTTCCAATCGTAGCCATTGGGCTGCAATTCAGTAGGGAAAATACGGGGGCTATTTCCAACATTTTTAGGATAGAATAAGTCTATGTAATCTTGATTTTAAAAAAAACTAACGGAAGAATTTGTTGAAAAACAAATCTACTTTTCTGGTCCCAAATTTGCCAATAAACAATGATATGTATACACAAAGAAATTCTTCTATACGGACGTTCAGACATTACGGAGAGAGAATAACTATATATAAACAAAGAAGGAGACCTCGATCATTTAGAATGAATCCAATCAACTGTATTATTCTGACCCATAGGAATCCTTATTTCCATAAATTGTCCAATTCCAAACTTGAGGAAATTATTAGGTATAGCACTGGGCATTTGCCAACTTATAATACATACGAATAATAGGATGACGCCTGGACATACTAAGGAGCAGAGAATAACTAACATTATATGTAAATGGACTTTAAGTCACCCGCAACCTTATGCCCAAGAAAATTTTGAGCAGCGATGTATTTGTGTCCCTTTAAGTAACCTATAGAGCATGAATACTTTAAATTATGTCTAGAATAGTTTTAAAAATCTTCATAAAAAATATAAATAAAATAATAATTTTAAAAAGGCGCCTATCTTCCTTGTAGAACTTCTCTCCAAATATCTCATTGAAAATGAATATATTAAAGATAAGCATGCCAACAACACGCACGCCTCTTTCATTGAGAAAAACACATGCATCTCTCTTGTCTTTTCATCTTTCTATTTTCCATTCTTTTTTGTTTTTATTTTCTGCCTCACTGTTTTTTTTATTCTTTTCTTTTTCCTTCTTCTTCTTCCTTTCTCTGTCTTTACATTACAGTTTTTTGAAACACATTTGACGTTGAAATCCTCTCACTCTTTGCAACCTTTATCCGGATATTGAGTGCCTAAATTCTTGCTGAGTATGCTGCATTTGCTACTGCCATTGCCACTGCAACTGCTATTTCTTTGAGAATTTTGTTCTGCTCCTCAATTAAATTTGGTTTTATTTGATTTCTTGTAATTTTTGGGCATTTTGGATTTTCTTCACTGAATCCGATTGTATGCAATTTTGAAATGGGAAGATGAAGATGTCGAGAATTGAAAGAAGAAGAAAGCATATGGAGACTGGAAGATGCTATTGTCAGGAGGAACTTTTGTGAATCTGTAAAATACGTAGATACTCATAGTTGTACAAAGAATTATTGTAACAAAATTTATTTGTTTTTGGTATTTGAGTTTTTAAAAAATTTTAAATTTTAAATTATAAAAGTTTGCATTTTTAGCCACAGTTATTTGTGTCCATATTGAATAAAATATATTATTTTAATATTCTCCAGGAGCTGCTGATAAAGAGGTAGAGTATAGGTGGGGCACAGCTACCTATACTAATTCGTAAATATACTAATTTACAAATATCATACTAATTTACCTACATACTTGTACATATTAATTTATCAGCACTTAAACAGATTATTAATTTACCTATACTAATTTATAAATATCATACTAAATTTACCTATATTTTGCAGGTACACTAATTTACTTAGATTACGCTTGCATACACGCATATGTCAAATGTGTTTCAAAAGTACATGAATATCATTTTTGTGCTCTTTAGATCGTGCTTTTAGCCCAGTCTTGCTACAAAATATAGGTAAACAATATGTACAAGTGTAGGTAAATTATTTTTTTTTTGTTGAGAAATAGGTAAATTAATCTAAGTACACCTACAAATTAGTATAGATAAATTAGGGGCATTCGTGTGTAGCAGGAGTATTATGATCGTTTGTTATGTAGGTGCATTACTGAATACTACTTGTGTTAAGTAATATATGCAATATGCTGTAATGGACATAAGAAATAATTTAAAGTTTATATATACATTATGTACAACATGATTAAAAGTTTATATATACAATATTCATTGCTTATTCGTTACATTATGTACAATATGAATTTTTTGGAAGTGATTCTGGATAAGCTAATATCACTTTTATAGAGAACCACTTCTTCATATAATCACTTTAAGTGGTTTTAATTTTAAGTGATTTTATAGAGAGGCACATTGGAGGTGTTTCTCCCGAAAATGGCTGAATTAAAATCACTTAAAGAGATTATATGGAGAAGTGTGCGGGAGGTGCTTATGTCCATAAGTAATTCTAGCCGTCATAAAATCACTCCCAAACAAACTCTAAGTTTCTATTGGGTTCTTCGTCCTTTAACAACACAACGTATTCTTATTTCTTCATAAGGTATGGTACGTATATATCGCCCTTGAAAGAGAATGTTATTGTTTTTACAAAGTTGTCTCTGTCATAGCCTGCATTGAATTTAGATGTATTTAAAACTCCGTAGGTAAAAAATAAATACCATGTATACACATAATTGGGCATGAACTATGGAGCTATGGCAACAAAAATAAAAAATGAATGTCTAAAGCATAACAAAATTAAATGAAAATCTCAACGTTAAAGAAGAATAAATATTAAACTCAAGGTTACCTGCAAGGTTCTCGTATCTGCTTGCTCATGGTAGCTGAATGAAACTGAAGCATTTGACCAACCTATATATATGTGTGTGTGTGTGTTAAGTAACCCATATCAGTTAAAAATTTCAACACGCAATTTTATCAGTAATCGAAAGAGTTACGAGTGAGAGAGTTCAATTACTTGATTCTTCGGAATCCGGTCCCTTTAGCACGGGATGTCTGGACCCTGATGTTCCCGTTTTCTCTAGGAAAGATAACGAACTTTTCGAAGGTGATGAAATCAGTTGTGGCGAAGGTCTCAGGATTCCCTCCACCCCCGTTGGAGGAAACCAGAATTAAGTGCCGTGGTCTAGCGGCATCGTGGCTGTGTTGACAGAATATAGTTGCAGGGATCCACTTGGACTTGTGCGGATGAAGCAGAATTGGTTCACTTCCTTTCCCTTCTGGATCCCCCTCCGGACATTCTCTCAGTTCCAGAGTCTGGTCTGTCGTGTTTTCAATCTCTGTAACCCTAGACATGCATGAACCCATTACGATGAAATTCGAGTCTTACCGCCCACTCTTTGGTTTTGTCAGGCGCTCAGACAAAAACACTGATGTACAGGAGAGGAAAGAAAAAAAAAAATCCCTCTCCAAAGGTGGTTATGCTTCCAATATAATGGGGATTGACTTCGTAGTTCACACTGCGACTTTGTTCATTAAACTTTGCATCTGTGTGTGACTCATCAGTGACTGTGAATGTGGTTATCCATGAATCTACATTTGTTTAACATCCTTTCACAGTCAAATGGCAATATTGTCATTTACATATTTATAAAATTAAATATAACGAATTTTTGTTTGCAGCTTTCCTTCTTCCTTTAACGAATAGTAAGAGCTCTATTAAATTATGCTCTTTTTATTTTATTTTATAAATAAATAAAATTCTTGTTGGACTTGCGTTTTCTTCTTTTATTTCGTACCGCAAATACAAGGTAGGGTCGTTTTGAATAAACACCAAATATCCAACCAAATACCAAATAATTGGATATTTGAAAATTGGACCAAGACAATATTTCCTTAATTTTGAGAATATTTCAGCATCTTTCTTCCATCTTCCGCTGTGACATGCATCTCTAAATGTTGTCTAATTTGACTCGTTTTGTGATTCTTCTTGTAAAGATTCAGTCGCCAAGGATACGGGTCCATTAAGGAAGAGCGAAAGGGCCAGCGCGTGGAGACTGTATTTTCTGTGGTTCGCAACTTTACAAGTGGGAACGTACGGAATATAAGTTCTCTGGAAGTTTTCACTTTCGTCGTTCTCTACTCTACAAGTGGGAGGTGTCCAATTCATCCCCTAATTCGCATGCATAAGTAATGCTAATGATTTCAACTGGCCCTTTTATTCCGCTTTGTTTTTTTTCCCTAATTAAGAAGGGGAAGGGTGAAAAACAATCACATGTATTGACTATTTTGATGGCAATCTCTCTAATATAGCAGACCCAACTAATGTATGTAAGACCTATCTGTATTAGATATGTGATCATTAATGATCCAATAGAGGCAGACCCAACTAAAGAAGTGGTGTCAATGTTCCTCTTTGTTTATAGGGCTAACGATAATAGACGCCCTAAAGGTTTGGGGTTATTCTCAATATTGACCTCAGGGTTTCAATTTTATTAATACCCCAATATTTTCAAACCTATCCAATTTAATCTTTCCGTTAAATTGACCATGTGATCAACCATTAACTGCTGACGTAGCCTTGTGAGACCCACCCCACCAACTGACTAACCAATCCCCTTACAACATATGAAGGGTATTTTCCTCTAGAGAGAGTGAATGAGAGAGAGAAGATAAAGAGAAAGGCCATGGCTAGAACCATGGGCGGAGCGAGTGGGGCGTTTTTTCAAAAGCGGAGAGGGGGGAAGTATGTGTGCTGGTGGTTTACTTATTTTATTTTAGTTATAAATTTAAGGGCAGATTTTTCATTTTCATATTTTTCTTATGATCAAATCAACAATTTTTTATTATTATAAGGAATTTGAAGAAAATGGGTTTTATGAAAATAATTTAAGATCTTAGGGGGTATTTGAGTAATTTTTAAAACCTTTAGGGTATTGTAAAAATGGAAAAAAACTCAAGGGATATTAGTGTAAATTACTCTAGTAGTCATTTCTTTGTTAGATTATGCTATTGTGAAGATGCCAAAAAACTCAGCCTTGAAGATTATAACTTTATAATGTTTATGCTCTTTTATTTTGAGTTTTTCTACTTAAACCCCACACTTTTCTTTGTTCGCCCCAATACTTAAATAATTAAGCTCTTAAGTTTTATTATTGTGCAAAAAGACAAAAAAAGTCATCCAACTTTATACTTAACCCTAATGCATCTATACACACACCCCACCACTCTTCATATTAAATTTTAGAAAAACACAAACTCCTTTACATCCTATTGCCAGATTACTATTCCCTTTCAATCCAAGAAACCTACTACACTCTCATCTTCTCTTCATAAACCCTAAATACGGTATGCAAATAGTGGCTTGTGGGTCATCAATTAAGGTATGTAATGTGAGATTATTTCTTGCTTTGGGACTCCTCCTAGAATTATCGAGGATGTTGTGATTAAAGATTTGCTGTAATTCTGAGGTTGAGATGAACTTAGAGTGGTGAGGGGTGCGATAGCGAGGTGTGGGGTTGATGAGTTTTTTATTTACATAATTTTTTTTTCTGTTGGGTGTGTATTTAGGGGTAGTTTGAAAAGATAATGGGGTTTTCTTAGAGACTGAGAAAATTTGAATTAGAAATTGGGGTTAACTTAGATATGGGGTAAACAAAGAGAAGTGCATGGTTTAAATAGAAAAACTCTTTATTTTCTGTACTCAAGGTATGAAATCTTATCTTTTATGAGGCCTAAACAACCAAAAGGTCACATTTATTATTTCTTATTTGTGAAATCACATATACCATTAAATATATATATAATATTTTATTTTTGTCAAAAGCCATTACAGATACTACCCTCTCAACACGTGTTTCCGCGCATGCGAGAGGTTTTTTTTTTAAAATTAAATTTATTTTAGAATTAAAAAAGATAAGGCGTAGTTGTGTTCCATAAAAATAGGATCCATTGCCTGATTTTTATTTTTATTTTAATATTTTTTAATGTAAAAATGTGAATTTACCATATTATCCTCATTTAATTAATAATTTCAATTCTTAATGTTTGCATTAACCAATGACATTTTTCTGGTATTTTGAATATTTTACCATTCTCTACCTTTTGCTTTATATATATATATATATATATATATATAAATTAACGAGCATGAAAATATGGTAGGCTTTATTATGCGGTACCAATCTATGAGAAGAAAACATAAGTTGAACATAAGTTTTATGAGAGTATTTTTGTTCACCACTTTAACATAAAGTGTATGTTCACCACCTTTCTCAACACTTGACACGTGTCTAAGAGCATAACTATGGTTACATAAATCAAAGTAAAAAGTTAACTATAATTATATCTATAAACACGTGTCAAATATTAAGAAAAATAATGAACATACATCTTGAGTTAAAGTGGTAAGTAGAAATATTTCATAAGCTTTATTGTGATACCAATCTACTTGGATATAGAGATGTTGTTGGCTTTTTAATAAGCCAGTACACTTACTTACACTCACTGCACCTTATTCTACAAGATACACAATAAAATCCATCTTATCAGTTATACATAGGGGTGGGCATAAAAATCGATAAACCGAATGAACTGACCGAACCAAACCAAACCAAACCGAAAAAGGAGGTTTTTTTGACCAAATCGAAAAAGTCAACACTGGACCTGACCCGAACCGTTGACTTCGATTCAAGCTTCGGGTCTAAAAAAATTTAAACTGGTGGACCTGAACCGAACCGCATAATATTTAATTATATATGCATTTTCCATGTGTCATTGTCTGATTGGCTTAAAGAAGAGTTTATGCGGAGTCTGCTTGGATTGGATCATTACCCTCACAAAGTAACCTAACTTAATTCGTTCACTCTCATTCGTCTCTCTCTCTTTCAGCCCTAACTCACACTCGTCGCCTCTCTCTCAATCTCACTGCTCCTGTCGTCCTCACCAAATTGACGGCGATGGCTACCGATACGGCGTCATCGTTGTCATCGTCGCTCTCTCTATCTCGTCTCACTCACCCCCTCTACGTCTCTCTCGCACCTCACCCTCTCCTCTCTTGCGCTCTGCACCTCTCTTTCTAACAAGGAGGAACCAGAAGCACCTTGACAGCAATCCCCCATAGCTTAAGACCCAGATCAAGCTTTCAGGTCTGATGCAGTAAGTAATCTGATGGCTTTCAGTTCTTTTGCTTTCAGTTTCGGCAATTCTTCAATATTTTCAATGTAGTTTGATGGCTATCTGTGATTTGCTCACTAATCTAAAATTTCAGTTTAGCTTGAAGTATTTGACAAAAGTGAAGATAACTGCTTGGTGATATCTTCACTTTTATCTTCAATATTCTTCACTTTGAGTACCCATTGGTTAATCTGTAGGGGGAAAAAAAAACAGCATCTTTTTATTTTAACTTTGAAAAAGTATGGATATTTGACAAAAGTGAAGATTACTGCTCGGTGGGACTGATATTTGATGCGTGCCTTTTAAAACACTGTATAAACCCTATGCTATTTCAAAATTTTCTTCAATCCAAATCAATGGTATGTTGTTTTTAACTTTATATGTGCGTCTTTGTGGTAAGGACTTGGATAAAAGTCTGTTGTGACTACAATGTGGTGGTGATTATGGATGAATGTGACTCAGTGCTAGCGGTGGTGAGTTCTGAAAATTTGCTTGCTTGATGTTCATGATATATTGGTTCTGAAATATGTTTGATGTTAATGAGATTTTGGTTCTGACATTTTTTTGTGGTTATAGATAGACCTGCTGCTGTTTCTGTGGGATTGATATTTGATGCTTCATTTTGTATTTGGTTGATTAAATATTGATGGAAATAAAAATTTAACATCTTGAAGTATTGGGGTTGTGGGAAATTAAGGCATTCCTAGCTATTTGGTTTGCCTTGGCTGAAATAGATTTCTTAAGAAAACGAAACAACAGAGCTTATAAGATGTTTTGAATGATAACTGATTGAGGAGTGTTTTGATCTGTGTATTTGAGTCGATTGAGGTGATATAACTTGTTTTGATATGTTTAAATGATTTGAGACAAAAACTGCAAACACTTTTCTTTTTTTGGGTGAAATTAGCTATCGAGTTGGAGTATGATTATGGTTGTTTGTGTGAGTGATTTTTGACTGATATATGTGTTTTTTTTTTTTTGCAGCTCCCTTAACTGATACAATCATATAAGTGAATGTGTTTGGTATTTAAAATCTAATTAGGTGTTTTACTTGTATATTTTTTTATGGGTTGTAAAATATAATTTGGTGCTTTACTTGTATTTTTTGTCATAGCTTGGGATGTAACTTGTAAGAAACAACTAATTTGATAGTTGGATGATGCTTGTGATTGTGATTTAGTTCAGAAACTTTAAAAAAGCAGGTTATAATTGAGTTGAATTTACATGATTTGAGTAAGGAAAAATGAAATGGGCTTTAAGGGATGGCCTATTTGAAAAATTGGCATTGTGAAAAAAAACAAACAAAATTGGGCTTTTGAATAAATGAACTAATTAGGTTTTGGCAATTTTACCTATAAAAAAAAAAAGATTTTGGCCCAAAAAAAGTGAGTTGGGCTTAAAAAACTAATGTTGGGCTAAAGCCCAAAACCGACAAAAAAGCCAGAAGCGAACCGGAGCCTATCGGGTCGGCCCATTTTCGGTTTTAAGTTTGGACCCGACTCAACCCGAGAACCGATATCCTACTCAGTTCGGCCCATCGGGTCACTCAAAATTGGACCCGACCCAAACCGTGCCCAGGCCTAGTTACACATCCCAATACTACAAACGAAGTTTAGAAAAAGTGGAAGTTTGACGAAAGAGAGGAATTCTTGTATTGGTTGTCTGGAAATAAAAATTGTTTAGAAAATAACACTATATTATTTCCCAATTGCCATTTGGGTGCACACGGTGCCAAGTACAAGAATAGCCGTCTTAGATTTAGGGTTTAGGGGCTCCAAATAATTGAACCGCCCGGTCCATTATGCAATCTAAAAAAGATATTGTATTCTTGTGTTAGAAGATTAAATATCTTGTAATTTGACTAATTTTGTGATTAAAATGAGGTGCATTATCGTAAAAAATTCAGTCCGCATAGGATACAGGTCCATTAAGGAAGAAAGTCTTGGGATGTTGCCTTCTCTCACAAAACAGATGGCCTGAAGCACATGCAATTGCAAACACCAAACGTAAATATTTGCGTAAATAATATTGAGATTGAGTTGAGTGGCAGCACAACTTGAAAATAAATCCAAGACAATAGAAGGACTTAACGTTAAATCCAAGACCACGAAGATGACAGGTGGCTGGATTGGATAATATAGACCACAAAGATCTTTTCAACTCTTATAGTTATAGCCTTGTTAGATTGTGTTAAGCTGAAACTGTCGAAGATTATATAAACCATTTCAGATTAAATCACCAGCATGAAAAGATTATATGAGAAGAAAACACCGATTTCAACGTAAACTTTATTAATTATGATACCAATCAATCTACTTGGATAACGCTAGATAGCTCAAAGCTAGAACTGTTGAAGGCTCTAGTATTCGGTGCACATGCTCATACACTTGCCACCTTCACAAACCCTAATGCAGTTGTCATTGCTGGATATGGGGGGTACGCATTGAAGAGCTTTCTTGCAAGGAATGGTCCAGCAACCCACAATCACGATGACGGAAAAGCATACAAACAGAGCCATGCATAGTAGAAAGTAGAAATCACGCAGCTGTTTGTGTTGATTATCAACCGGCACAACCCCCTTGCGGATCTGCCTTTGTTCCGGTTCATCCTTAATTTCTACAGTTGCAAGATCTTGAGAAGCAACCTGCCCTGAAGCTTCTATTTTCGTTGAAGTCCAGTATGATAGTATGTCACTTTTGAGCCCATGATCTGAAGGTGAAGTTTCTAGCTTCGCCAGATCACTTTCCAATTTATTGCGCTCAATCTTGGTTTGGTGTCTCTGCATGACGCTTCTTTTATAATTGCCTCCGATTACAAGCAATGAAACCAAGTTGAGTATGGCTGCAATTAGAGAGAGGCTGAAAAGGAACCAGCGATCTGAGCATCGCAGCGTTGTGGTGGCAGTGACGATAGCCCCCAAAAGAATTCCTTGAAAGACGAAGTAGTAGTTTGCAAGGTTGAAGGCACTCGCTTGAAGATGGTTTACACGATCGTCCTGCTTCTCAATTGTAGCTTGTAGCTCCTCTTTTCTTTTCTCCATGTTTTCTTTTTTTTCTTTGTCACTATTTGGTGGACACGGATGGTTGGCCATACTCAAACTAAGAGAGGTAAAGATAACAATGCAGAGTCTTAGAGTAAAGTCCCCTCCTCCTCCATACAGCTTATATACACAGAAATACTGTTGGCTTCCGTGAATAATCCAATACACTCACTTTCACACTCAGCTGCACCTGATTCTCAAAGTAAAGCAAGATTTCTCAGTGCCGGACGTCCGTTCTTTGTTAAAGGACAGATTTTGTTTTGATAATGTTGTCGACCACATATCTGTAAAGATATCAACGGTCCTAGTGCTGCCACATGTCAGAAGATTAAAGAGTAAAGCTGTTGAGATATTGTTAGTCATGTTAGGAAGTTTAGGAAAACTGTTAGTATTGATAAGGGAAGGATAGAGAAGTTAGAGAGGTTAGAAAACGTGAACAAGGCTTTAGCTAAGCTGATATAAATACTGTAATTGTGCTCAGTTGAGCTTAATGAGAAATACAACAACTCTTTTCTCTCGATCTCTGAATTCTCTCTGCTTTATTTCTTGTATTCTCTGCTATTGTGTTCTTTAGTCTTCCTATAGTAACATGGCATCATTTGCCATGGATCGATTCTGATGTTCTGTTCTTCTGCTTCCGCACTCTCTTCCTCTTTGTTTTCTTTCTCTGGATTCCACTTTGGCACACATATAATCGAGGACGGATTTTGTATTGATAATGCTATTGAGAGCCGCAATTAAAAAAAGGGAAACAACAACAACAACGTAGCGGAGGAAAGTTGCTCTCGTGGTAAAAACTTCTGCTTGTCTCTTTGGCAAAGTGTAGACCGTTGAAAGGGAAAACTTCCCTGTTAGTACACGTGAACGTGCTTCGCTTATCACCCACACACAAAAGCTGGGCATGCATGTGGCTGAAAACAATCCACATCCTGAAAAAACCATTGCATAATTCAAGATCTCTACTGTGTAATTCAATTATTGATACATCATCTACTATTTTTTCTTTATGGGGTTTGAAAATTTGGAGATGCTCATTTATTGCATCTGAAATTAACAGTATCAAGTCAATGGATGAACTCAATCAAAGTATACTTTTATATATTATCTTGAATTGATTAACTCAATCAACATATATATGCTTGAATTCACCTTCCAAATTGATTGTTTTACTATTTTCTCTGTACTCAACATACATAACTAGTGTAGAGGCTAAAAAAAAGTGTTGAACCTAATCTAAGTCCACCTTTTAGGACTTACAGAATTTTAACCACTTGAGGGAGATATGAGCACTGCTTGAATCTAGAAGGGGATTTGAGTACTGCAAGAATCTCAATAGGGTTAGTGAAGTGATCAAGGAAACCTCGAGTGGCTAAATATTCTAAATATGAAAGGAAAAAAAAAAAAAAAAAAAAAAACTTAATGTCTGTCATGTGTTTTAAAAATATTTAGTGTGTTGCCAAATTGATTGTCATGCTTGGGTTGCTCACATCAAAAGGAAATGAAGGTAGTTGAAGCTCCACTTTAAAACCAATTGATAATGGGGGGAGTAGCCTAACTCCTTAGGAACTCTTGCAAGGTTTTATAACTTTACAATTTCACTTTTACATTCTCACATGGAATTGGTGATAGTGTGGCTAGTAGCTAGGATTTTTTCACATTAGAGGGGGCCCTTCATAAAACTTGTCTTCTCTTCATAATTATCATGAATTTCATATTTTAAATTGGTTAAATACTAATTTCATCATCTACAGTATTAAAGACTTAAAAATTAGTATTTTATATGTTCCAACAGAGAAAAGAAATAGAAAAATAAAGAGTTCATAAAGCGCAATATAGGTGCCCAACTCATACAAAAAAAAATTGAGGAAAATAAAAATTCACAAAGCTTTAAACAAAAGAGGAAGAGAAAGAAATGTTAAAACTTTAGGAGTTTTAAGCACAAATATCTTAAACTACCGTGGCTAGGATAACTGTGGCTTATACCATAGTTTTCTAGGAGTGTGGCTCCGCCCTTGCTAGTAGCGCAGCTTGGTGGTGCTCAAAGGTGCGGCAGCCAATGCTGGTGGTGCACTGCCACGATCGAGTTGGGAGATGGAGGGAAGAAATATAAATCTTTTTTTTTTTTTTTTTTTTTTTTTTTTTTTTTTTTTTAAATTTTTTAAAATCTAAAAGAATAATAAATAAATAATAAATATTTATTGGCTGGCCACATAATCTGACCTAGTAAATATAAAGTGACTGTTTGGACAGCATTTTTCACAATTATGAGAATTTTCCTTGTTGCTCCGCTATTTTAGCAGTACCTGTGGCTATATTTATTTTTCGAACTCCATTTATATTTCTGATTATATATATTCTTGTAATAATTCAGGCGGAAGAGGATGCAGGTCCATTATAGTTAGCCAGCCCCACTCCATTATGCAGAGTCGTACAGACAAAGTTTCCAGGTCGCACATGTTGATTGTCTTTTTTCTTTGGTCGATGTGCAAACTCCGAACTTTGGTAAATTCTTAATAATCTCATCGATCACCTTGTAAATAATAATATTCTACCCTATCCCTTGTACTAGTTGGTGGCTAATTATAGGTAAATTGTTTTGGTACTAGAAAATTACATATGATCATATGGAAGTAAGAAAATATGAGTCACAAGCAGAAAAGCCAACTTTCTTTTATTTTCTGTGCTGAAGGCCTGAATTCATTAGAATCTTATCTTTTATATAAACCATTATAGATTAAATAAGGAGCATCAAAATATGGTTAACTTTATTGTGGTTCCAATCTACTTGGATTGGATATTGAAGCCCTAGAATTGGGCGCAGATGCTCATACACTTGGCACCTTCACAAACCCTAATACATTTATCACCGTTGGCGTTCGATATCGGGGGTGTGCATTGAAGAGTTTCCTTGCAAGGAATGGTCCAGCAACCCACAATCACGATGACGGCAAAGATTATAAATAGACCCATGCAAAGTACAAAATAGAACTCACGTAGATAATTTGTAACAACAGGAATGACCCTCCTTTTATGCCTTAGTTCCAGTTCATCCTTCATTTCTACGGCCGTAGGATGTTGAGGATGTTGAATCTTGGTCGTATCCCAGTAGGTTAATATTTTAGTTTGGAGCCTTTGATCTGAAGGTGAAGTTTCTAGCTTTCTCAGATCACTTTCCAATTCAATGAGCTCACTCTTGGTTTGGTGTCTCTGCATGACGCTTCTTTTATAATTGCTTCCAATTACAAGCAAGGAAACCAAGTTGAGTATGGCTGCTATCAGAGAGAGGCTGAAAAGGAACCAGCGATCTGAGCATCTGAGCGCTGTGGTGGCAGTGAGGATAGCCCCCAAAATAATTCCTTGAAAGACGAAGTAGTAGTTTGCAAGGCTGAAGGCGCTCGTTTGAAGTTGATTTACTCGATCATCCTCCTTCTCAATGATAGTTTGCAACTCCTGTTTTCTTTTCTCCATGTTTTCTCTCTTTTCTTTGTCACCATTTGGTGGACATGGATGGTTAGCCATACTCATTCTAAGAGAGCTAAAGATAAGAATGCAAGGAGTCTTAGAGTAATTCAAGTCCCCTCCTCCTCCATACAACTTATATATATATACAGAGATACTTCTGTTGGCCTTTTGAATATGCCAAAACACTCACTGTCTCTCACACTCAGCTCAACATTATTATACATGGGCACAACCAAACCAATTATTGTATAAAAAATAAAAAAAAATAAAAACTAATCATTCAATTCAAATTTAAAAAGAGGAAACTCTATAAAAGCCCACTCATAGTAATTAAAAAAAAATTTAAAAGAAGAAGAAAAACTTACCCAATTGCTCAATTCAAAATTAAAAAGAGGAAACTCAATAAAAACTCAATTATTTTTTAAACTTATAGTTTAAATCAATTAACCTAGTATCAATTATGAAATTGAAAAAGACATGATAGAAAACTTGATTATGTAAAGTTAACTGATACTTTTAATTGAAAATGCAAGATGAGTAATATTTAAGTGATGTTTTGATGCATTTTATAAAGTTGTTGTGTAAATTACATATTGATTGTTTCTTTTCTGTTACAATTCATATAATATTTTTTAACTTACCGGAAAAAAAAATAATCACATAAATATACACATAGAGTATAAGGTCCCATTTGGGAGGTTCGCCTAGGACCTCCAAAATCTAGAGCCGCAACAAGATACACAACAGTGGAAATGTCTAAGGTAACCCTTAAGCACGAGTGTGTGTGTTCCTACCTTTCACAGAGAAAAAAAGGGCAAGATTTCCATTCATAGTGTTGTGGACCGAATCAACCCAAAAAACAGTGGAAGAATAAGGGAGGAAAGTTGCTCCATTGAAGCGTGAGAACATCTCTTTGGCAAAGTTCACATTGTTGAAAGGATTACGCTTCAACCTGTTTTTGCTTTACAGATCACCCGCACACAAAAGCTTGAGCACTAAAATAAGGGAATTCAAGATCTCTGATCTAATTCAGTCATTTCAAGATCAAGGGTGTCTCAGTGGTGGGACCCCCAATTTGTCTCTAATGATAATTAGCAATTGATAATGTGATGTTGCGTGCCGGCCGAAAGATTAAAGCTGCTGGCTGGTGCTCAAGTTTTCTTTCTGGGTCTGAAAAATTTGAGATGCTCTTCTTTTCGCGATCATCTCTTCACTAGAGAAAATGTGTCATATTGGGCTTTTGGATCATATGGTTGAGCCCACTAAACTAATGCATAAGCCCACACCAACGTCCGAGGAAAAATCCTTTTAGATCCCCTGCTACCCTCCTTTTCACTAAACCCTGTATGTCATTTTTTGTCTTGTACAACAGAATTCCAATCTTCTATATAAGTTCCTATTTACCACAAAATCTTCAAATGCTTCAATTAGTTTCAGCCCATAAAAGCACCACATCCTACTTTCTGATTGTTATTGGGTCTTACATGCATTAACGGTCAAAAATTACTTACATGTGAGCGATTATCCTATTTTAACAC